CCCCATTATAGTTGACATTTTAGTTTCAGGTGTACAACAAAGGGTTTAGACATTTCTATATCTTACAAAATGATCACCCCAATAAATTTTGTACCCATCTGACAATACATAGTTATTACAAATATTATTGACTAAATTCCTTACATTATACTTGACATCCCCACAACTGTTTTGTAACTACCAATTTGTACTTCTTAATCTCTTCTCCCGTTTTTCACTTAACCCCTCTCTCATCTGGCAACCATCAAAATGTTCTTGTATGTTAGTGAAATCATGTGGTATTTGTCTTTTTCTGTCTGATTTATTTCACTTAGCACAATACCCTCTAGGTCTATCTGTGTTGTTGCAGCTGGCAAGATGTAATTCTTTTTTTTTCTTTCTTTTTTTAAAAAAAAATATCTTTATTGATTTCAGAGAGAGGAAAGGAAAAGGAGGGAGAGAAATAGAAACACCACTGATGAGAGAGTCATTGATCGGCTGCCTCCTGCACGCCCCCAACTAGGGATCGAGCCCGCAACCCAGGCATGTGCCCTGACCAGGAATCGAACCCTGATCGCCTGGATCCTAGGTTGATGCTCAACCGCTGAGCCACGCTTGGCTGGGCTGTAATTCTTTTTTTATAGCTGAGTCATATTGCATTGTATATATGCACCACTTTTTCTTTATCTGTTCATCTATTTATGGACACTTAGGTTAATTCCATATCTTGGCTATTGTAAGTAATGCTGCAGTGAGCATATGGATGCATAGTTCTTTCGAATTAGTGTTTTGGGTTTCTCCAGGTAAATACCCAGACGTGGAATTGCTGGGTCCGTCTTTGTCACTTGTTATAGCCTTTGTTTTAAAATAAATTTTTTTCTGGTATAAGTATTGCTACCCCAGCTTTTTGTTGTTGTTTCCATTTTCATGAAATAACTTTTTCCATCACTTTGCTCAGTTTGTGTGTGTCTTTCAATCTGAAGTGAGTCTCTTGTAGACACCATAATTTAGGATCTTGTTTTGTTATGTGTTTAGCCAACTTACGTTTTTTGATTGGAACATTTAGACCATTTGCACTTAAAGCAGTTGTTGATAGATATTAGTTAATTGCCACTTTATTATTCATGTTTTTTATTTTTTCCTTATTCTTACAGAAGTTCCTTTATCCCTTTAACACTTACTGCTTCATCTAATTATTGATGCTCTGTATACTTCATTTTAGTTGTATTCTTCATTTCTGATGGTTCTTGTTTGTGTTTTTTATCCCCATTTTCATGCTTTCTATCTCTTTGTTGAAGTCTCACTGAGATCGTTGAGCATATTCGTAACTATTGTTTTGAACTCTGAATAAGGAGATTGCTTGTCTCCATTTTGTTTAGTTGTTTTTCTGGAGTTTTGTTCTGTTATTTCTTTCGGGATGTGTTTCTTTGTCTCCTCATTGTGACTGCCTTCCTGTGTTTGTTTCTGTGTGTTAGGTGGACCTGCTGCATCTCCTGTTCT